TAACACCCTCTCCTCATCCCCTACAAGGACAGCCGACCCTCAGGAATTCATTAGAAACCTTGGAAGTACCTTTCCTTTCTGCAAATGCTGTTTTCGTTGTGTCTTGGGCTGATAGTAAATGTTACTTAGTAAATAAAAAGGGCACTTATGTGATATTAATTCTTGTTGCTGGTCTGTGTGTGCATTGGTGATTCTGGAAGATAAACAGAACCTGTAGAGGGGCCCTAGCAATCTGTTAGTATTGCTAGGTGGCGTAGTCGTACTGTATACAGGGCAGGAAATAATTATTGTTTGATGGGTCACCTCACTTTGACATCTCTTGTTTCCACTCCCTCTCTTTCTCTCCCCTTCCATCTCTCTCTGTCCAAATCTCTGTCTGCTGCTGGAGACTTGTCCTTGAGCTGAGGGCCTCCGTCCTGTCAGCAGGATAACTGCATCTTTATCTCCTCACACTCTCTCCACACTTGAATTTCAGGTGCTAAAGAAAGCCCCTTGTCCTGAGGCTGACAGTTAGGGTATTGACTCATGCCTTATCGCTTTGTGAAAAATTGTCTGAAGTAAAAATTAATATCATCCAAATTGTGCAGGGGCCCATGCAGAAATGTGATTAATGGAGTGTAACAAAGTTACAGAACGATAAAGGGAAATTGGGAATCACTTTTTTGAAAGGGCAGACAGCTTTCTGTGAGTATGGGACAGCAACATATCGCAGGATCTACAGATGCTGTTTGAACAGGAAAGAGAAGAGACACAGATAGATGGGGAAAGAGGGACTTTCACTCCAAGGGATAGGGAGTAATTAAATGTACTGGAAAAGGCAGGCATGAGTGGACTGAGGTTGCTTTTGGACTCTCGCACAGACACTTCTTTTCCACTGTTTTGAAGGAGCTACACTTGTGGTGTTTCAGGGAATCATTCCTACTTGGTACATAAACACATCAGTATTAAAAAAATAAAATAAAATAGTAATGTCCTACATAAAAAATTAAATGAGATGTTTCATTTTCATGCAGTATTCCTGTAACATCAAACTAAGCATCCTTGATTTAGAGATCATACAAATGGGACTGAAAGGAGTCACAGTCACAAACATACGTGGAATAGCTTGATTTAATGTGTAATGGATGATATTCCTGGAGAAGACTGGGATTTATACTTTGAACATGGAAATGCAGTAAAATTGAGACCATTCCAGAGCGTGTATTTGTTTTTACACGCTGGAGTTCTGAGCGTGTAGGGGAAACACTCTGAGTCTGGTATCAATGTGTTGTAATGGCTTGTTATCCTGTTTGAGGATTTCCAATCCTGCCTGCTTCTGCTGCCATCCCCACCCCCCTTCCTTCCCCCTGCATCACTGCTGTCTCCCTCTGGGGCAGGCTGCTCGGCCAGTGATTGCTGTCTGTGTTCATTTGGTTGTGGGGCTGTGGTGGACATGGTGTTGCCAGGGAGATAAGCAGAGGCGTTGCCATAGTATTTCCATAGCAACTGTCTCCTGTAAATTGCCGAGAAGGGCTCTTCAGAGCTGAGGCCATGCCAGCTCCTGAGGGACAGAAGAGAGGTCTGGGGGGCGATCTGAGGAGGGGGAGGCTTCATTGGCTTAAACTATGAATCGATTCTGCTCTGAAGACACTGAGACAGTTCATCCATTTTGCTGGGCGCATCACTTTCCATTTGTCTCTTCTCCAACCCCCACCATGGTCAGCTGCAGGTCACCTGGGCACTTCTATCCATTTCCCTTGCAGAGTTTGATGCAACCAGGCCTTTCTTCAGTTAACAGAAGGGCTGACCTTGCTGATGATGATCACTGTGACAGTTGGAGATGAGCTGGAACAAGGACTGAAGTGGAACCCCGTGAAAATGACCAGGCCACCAGATAAGACAAAATTATTTACCGTAAGACAAAAGCTGCAAAATAAATAGCCCATCCAAAGAATTGCAGCTGATTCCGGTTTTTGCAGTCTTCATTTCCGAAACAGCTCCCCCCGCTGCCCTCCTGAGATATAAACAAGCTATCTGTCAGCAGGACACTACCGGGGCTGAGATCGGGAGGGCGCCCACTCGGCCTCCGCCAGTCCTGCTGTTATAAACACCCAGAGGGCTGTAAACAACCTGCTGTGGTCCAGACGTTAAACAAAGTAACAAATATGAAGATTAATAACAAAAGAATTGACCTCAAACTTCACAGTAGTTGAAGATGAAGGTGTGTTTCATGCTTACCTGGTGGGTCTTGTGTTGCTGCTATAAAACTGTGGCTCTGTGCTTTCTGCAGGGGAGCTTCTCTCTCTTGTTTGCAATTTTCCCTTTTCCAGGTAAGTTTGCTCCTGACTCATGTGGCTCATTTTTTCTTCCTAAGTGGGTTTGCCATTTTGCCTGCACATTCCTTACAGATAGAACAGTTGACAGTTTCGAGCTGCAGGGCGATATGACCTGCTGGTTCACCTCACTCACTCAAAATGACAAAAACTGCCTTCAAAATATTGTAAACCTCAGCTTTAAAACCATTGGTGAGTCTTTAAGTCCCCTGGTACAGCTGTATGCCCAGCAGATCCTGATGAAAGCCTGTGCCATCATCGAACACAATCATATCCTTCACCAGTCTCAGAACATTTGCCTTCAGGAAGCCATTTTCACTGTCCACAGTGCAAGACAAATAAAAAAAAATTGAGCTTCATTCCAGGGGCCATCATGCTTGCAAACAATGACTGTAAATGATGTCTATTGGACAGAGCCCACCACCCCCACAAATGTGCATGTACTAACACCTTCCTCATACTACACACTGTTACTTTCAATCACTTCTTTTTCTGTCCTTTTGCTGTTATAACTATGTATACTTTTCCGCAGCAATGTTTTGTTTTGTCTTTGTTTTGTTCTAGTGTTGTATGCTGTACCTCTTGCTGCTAAAATTACCCTCCCCCGGGATGAATAAAGTACTTGAATTGAATTGAATGTTCTATTAATGTTATTTTGAACTGCCTGCCTGCCAATTCATAGCACTACAATAATTCTATGCCATAGATATAGGTACAGCAGAATTTAAATTTGCAGCTAGATTTAAGGAGTGGGACTGAAGTGTTCAAACATACTCTTGTGCACTCACATAAATGGCAGTAATTGCTATGCTGTGTTCTATGACTGCCACTAAAGGTTCTTTGTCCATTCCTCAGGCCACTCCCTCTGGCTTCACTGTGAAAGATGAGCTGGACTCTGGAGCCTGAGCATTGAAGTATTGAAGCAACAGGACCTTTCAATAATTCATCTTTGTTTTGATGGGTGCATTGTATTATTAATCAGATGGTCACAGTGGAAGCCAACGTAGCTGTGGCTTGGAAATACAGAAACAAATGAATCCATGCTGAAAGATGCCTGGGGTCTTAATGCAATTCCTTTAAAATTATTCTTCAGTGAGGCTATGCTCTGTTTTCCATGCTGCAAATGATTCCTGGCTGGATTCAGAATGGAAAAACATAGTGCCTGTTTTCAAAAAGATTTAAAAAATCCAAATCACCCCGAATCACCCGGAAAAAGCTCCTGAGTGGAACGTCCACTAAACATGCCGTAATTATTAATGTTCCTTGTGTGTTCACTGTGGGATCACTAAAGAGGTATTTACAGAATTTTGTTCTACTGGAATCCTATAGGAAAATATAGGAGTCCTATATTTGGGTGACCTGAACCATGCCTTGCAGAGGATGGCAAACATTTTTCTGTCCAATAAAAATAAAACATCTATAATAAGTTAAAATATGTTGAAGTAGATTATAGCTGCCTGGAGCTGCATGTCCCACCAGCAGACAGGATGATCACCTCTAGGTTAGTGTTCACTGTCACATTCACAATTACTACCCACAGTCTGCAGCTAGTGGCATGAAACACTTTCATTTACATCTACTGTTAGTGATCTCTGGAAGTGCAGCTTAAGTGCAAGGGTGGTAAACAGAGCAGTTGAATTGATCAAAATCAGTAGTCCAGTTAAGGGAAAAGGAATCTCTAATATACTTAAAGCATTTACTTATGTGTTTTATAAAACCTATGGGTAAGGATCTGTTATTTCTTTATTTTGCAGCCACTTTTAATTCCACCAGGGGCAGACTCAAGTACCTTATTAGCATGTCAGATCTCAGAAGGTAAGCAAGGCTGGGTCTGTTAGGATGAGATTTCAAAGGGAATCTCAATGAAAGGTGGGTTGCTGCTGTAAGTGGTGTAGTGGTGCACCAGCAGGTGGTATTCTTAATCATAATTTCAAAAATAGCACCTCACTATGGTAACCGGGGACACTGTGCTGTAAAAGTCACCCTTGAATTGTAATGTAATACTGATGTCTTGATTACTTGGTCATTAAAGGTTCAATGGCAGTTTTTAAGAGCATGGTTTATACTAGTAACTCTGGTGTCCTGACTAAATTCCACAATGGGGTTACATGATCTTGCAAGAGAACCCCTTTAATTTGCCTGGTAAGCAATTGCTTTTCACTCTTACTGATCTGTTGTGTAGTGGGACTGCTGGCACTTGATATCTTCCACAAGTCACCCTTGTACTGTTGTTCGGTCATGGATGAATTTAGTCCCTTTCTGTATATAAAGCTCATTGGGATGAAAACTAATAACTAATAACTAACATATGTTTAAAGTTCAACTTGTGTAAATATGGGATAATTGAATATGGAACAAAATCATTGCTGCTCATTTTATCTTGAAATATGAAAACAATACACGATTAAGTTTAACCTATACAAACGAAGTAATGGTAATGAACCTGAATTTAATCATTCTAAAAATTCCAACATAAATCTTAGTAACAGCACAGTATAGGAAAGGATAAGGAGCATAGGATGCTTGTATATTTAATGTAAAATAACGGAACAACAGCTGCATCTGCTGGACAAAGTGTCACTTATACTTTCCTTACGTCTTTTCGTTTTTTCCCCTCGAAGCGTCCGACGAGCCAAAGAATGAGGTATGTCCTTCTTCGCTTGCCGTTCACCGCGTTTCCCATCCTGCCCCGCTCGCTGCTTGGCAGCCACAGTATCGGAGCGCTAGAGGACTAGACAGAGAGGTTGCAGCAATGGAGGAAAGCAAAAACAAAGAGAAAACTCAGCCGGAAAAGATAGAGGAGAAGGGGCAGCAGTCGGCTGGGAAGGACAAGGAGAAGAAAGAGGAGCAGGAATTGGTGAGCTGGGGGTGTCCGGGAGATTTTTTTCGGTCTTTGTTTATTCGGTTAGAGTGGCAGGGAAGTGAGCGGATTATACCTGAGTCACTGTCCCTCAGCCTGATATGGTGGAGTAGGCCGAGAGAGCTTTGTCATTTGATAAAATAACACAGCACCCAGTTTCTCTGTCAGAGTGCATACTGAAACTCATGCCTTCCTGATGCCGAACATTTAAGATACCATTTGAAAAAACGTCTCGGTGATCAAATGAGGTCAAACGATTAAATAAGTTTGGTTACTAAAAACAACCATAGTCAAAACACTGCTATGATGTTTTAATTCATTGCAGTGCAGCAGGTGACGGCCAGAAGTTGCGTCTGGTATTCTTCACACGCTGTGGGATCATTTCATTTTGTTCTTGTTCATATGGTAAATTCACCTGCATCAATTAGTGAAACGGTGCGGTGACAATATTCTCTGAGGCACAATACTGCATGGAGTTCAAAAGTTTTAGCGGCTGCGGGGTCTCGAATGCAACTTTAATTATAATAGTGATTTAAATTGAAATATCCTACACGCAATTCATGACTTCGTGTAGAACAGTCTACAACAGTTAAAACGTGAAATGAATTGGATTGCTATTGGGTCGGCATCTCATCTGTTGTTCTTTAAGTGGGCATCGGTCTGCCAAGCAATGTAATCTCAGTGGTTATTAGATTGAGCCTGGCGGTTTTACATATCCGATCATTTCTGTAAGGATTCCGTGCAAGTGTGTGTGTTTATGCTTGCTTTTAGCTGGTGTAAAATGTGCCTGTAATCCCTGAGATTTGTTGTATTTTGCAGTCAGAGGAGGACAAGCAGCTGCAGGAGGAGTTGGAGATGCTGGTGGAGAGACTCAGTGTGAGTACAAATGTGAGACTTAATCCAGGAGTTTAGATAAGAATGTTGTATCAAGACATGCATTGATTTTGTTAAATCAAGTTTCATATTCCTGTTGTAGTAATATGTTCATGTGTCCGCCCCGTCCCCCGTCCCCCGATAAAAAAACTGTTCGAATTGTTGTGCAGTTTCTTTGCATTATATTAAAATGTAATTGGATATATGTATATATAATTATTTGTATGGCGTCAGTGTATAATAGCTAATAAAAATGTGTCTTCACTGCATGATTGTCATATTAGTACAAGATTGTGAGTTTTTTTACAGGTGAGACAAACAACATCTTAGCTTCCATCTCCTCCCAGCTTGTTTCCATTTTCCTTTTAATGTTAACCTATAGCTTTGAGTGTTTTAAATTGAAAATGTTATGCGTGCTGTAGTTGCAATTTACAGTCCCCCCACAACCGTTTGATTGTCAGAATGTTTTATCGCCTGCCCTCCAATGTCACTGTCGTTTTGTTTAGCGTAAAGGATAATCTGATGTGTGTGTCTGGGTCTTCCAACTCACTGTTTCCCACTTCCTTGTTCTCTCCCAGGAGGAGGACACCTCCCTTTACCGCCCAGCGCTCGAGGAGCTCCGGCGCCAGATCCGATCCTCTACGACCTCCATGACGTCTGTGCCCAAGCCACTCAAGTTCCTGCGGCCGCACTACGGCAAGCTGAAGGAAATCTATGAAGCAATGCCAGCAGGAGACAACAAGGTGAGCCCTGGCTGCAGCAGGGAGCTTGCTGTGTAAAATAGTTGGCTGGCAAAACATGAAAAAGAACATAATAATAATTCCTTGAACATATATAACACTTTTCTGAACACTCTACTCAAAGTGCTTTATGGGTAATGGAGACTCACCTCTACCAATGTGCAGCATCCACCTGACTGTTGAGATGGCAGCCAAAGTGTGTCAGTATGTTCATCACACATCAGCTATCAGCGGGGAGGAGAATAGAGTAAAGAAGCCAGTTCACAGATGAGGATTATTAGGAGGCCATGATTGGTAAACGCCAGGGGGAAATTTGGCCAGGTTGCCATGGTCACACGCCTACTCTGAGATTTTAAATAAATAGAAAGAATCAGGACCTTGGTTTTAAAACTCATCCGAAGGATGGTGCCTTTTTTACAGTATAGTGTTCCTATCACATCACTATACTGGGGCATTAGGACACATCCAGTCTGTGGGGTGAGTGCTCCCTACTGGTCCTGCTAACATCTCTTCCTGCAGCAACCTCAGCTTTCCCAGGAGGTTTCCCATCCAGGTACTGACCAGGCTCACACCTGCTTAGCTTCAGGGGTTGCCAGTTGTGGGTTGCAGGGTGATATAGTTGTGAGGGAGTGAGGTTAAGTCTGTGGGTTGTGAAGCTGCTGTGAATGTCAGAGAAAAATCTGAATATTTGGGGCATAGTGGGACTGTCATCATTGGCTTGTGTTAGTCTAGGTGTTACTGATCTCAAAAAGCCTTGCAGTTAGGTTAAAAGGATTTTTACCTGGAGGTCCCAAGTTTGGCACCTGGTTTTGCCAGGGTCTTGCTGTTAGTCACTGTACTTCACAGGCCTGGTAGTAAGTGATGCTGCCACAAGCAACTGATATCTTTCCTTTCTTCCTGTTATTTTGGACTCAGATTTGATGTTTTTAAGTATTTGAAGCAGTTATTGAAGCTAATGGCATCATCTCATTCATCGTGCCGCTGCTGCTGAGTGTTAATGTTTCTCTCTCTGTCCTTCTTTTTGTCCCTTTCACAGCGCTTCTGTGCTGATGTGGTGTCAGTCTTAGCCATGACCATGAGTGGAGACCGCGAGTGTCTGAAGTACCGGCTGCTGGGTTCCCAGGAAGAGCTGGCATCCTGGGGTCATGAATACGTCAGGTCTGTTCTGGGAAGGGGAGTGCAGGATGCTGGCCATTTTCTGTGCCTCTACTTTATGGTGAATGTAATGGTGTTGGATATGATGATTCAGTGTGAGGATAACATGGATATAAATGTGTAGGAAGCCAGTGTGCTTTTCAGCATTGCTGCAGAACCTTTGTTGAAATTATTTTAAATCAGTCAAACTTTATGAATCAAACAGATAACATATATGAAATGTATCATATATGATGTGCAGTACAGAACAGGATATTAGCATCATAAGGTCACAAGGCCTATGACATTACATAAGAACAATTACTAAGCAGAGGAGGCTGTTTGGCATTTGGCCTTTCTTACTGATTGATCCAAGGATCTCAACAAGCTGTTTCTTGAAAATGCCAGGATATTACCTTTGATAACTATCAGGTAGCCTATGTATGTTTCATACACCCATCATCCTTTCTGTCAAGAATTCTCCTTTTTTGCTTTACAATACATTTCCACATAATTCCCATTAAGATTGACATTAACTCATTTGTTGGTGTGCACCACTATGTGGGGGGTCAGTTCTGTTGTGTTTTTGTGTGGGATTTTGTTTTCATTAACCTTGGGCTGCTCCTCCATAGCCTGCCTCATGGGGATCAGTCTTCAGTATTGAGTATTTTTAATAGGTTTGAAGACAATTCTCCTTTTCTCTTAAAATATTTTTGAAGTTATATTTCAGTATAGAATGAACACATTTCCTGGAATCAGGAATCAACCTCCAAATAATTGCTGTTGAATAAATTAACAACATGTTTATTCAGTAGACCTTACATGTTGGAAAGAGTAGCTTGGCTTTTAAACTTTTCTTTCATAGATGGACTAAGTGACTGTTGCATGCCTGCAAAGTCTTGATTCCACTTTTGAGCTAGATCTGTGCCAGAATGATTGTGATCAGGGAGATGGCAAGCTCTGATGGGCATTTACAGTGTTCGTATGTGCCTGTGTTTTTCTTTCAGGCATCTGGCGGGGGAAGTGGCGAAGGAATGGCAGGAAGTGGAGGAGAGCGACAAGGTGCAACAGGAGACCTTATTGAAGCTGGTGAAGGAGATCGTGCCTTACAACATGGGCCACAACGCTGAGCACGAGGCCTGCGACCTGCTCATGGAGATTGAGCGGCTGGACATGCTAGAGCTTTACATTGATGAGAACGCCTACGCCAAGGTCTGCCTCTACCTCACCAGGTAAGCAATCCCTCCACCCCCTTGAGTCAGGAATGCACACACCTAGGCAGTTATAAGATTCCCTGCAGCAGAGAGAGGGTGTTTCCACTGACTGCCTCACTGTCTACATTGCCACACCTTAACCAGGTAAATCCAACCAGCTCTTCACTAGACATGCTTCCATTATCTGTTTGTCCCAAGGAAAAGATAGGAAATGATGCATGTCCAGTATAGTGTCCTTTAATGCACCACAAGTAACTCTTATAATATGGAAGATATCTAATTGAATGCAACATTGGTGGATAATTTGACTAGTATTTTGCACTGGAGTTCCATTTAAATATCCATTCTTCAATACTTCAATAAATTTAAGTATTAGTAAATTTAAGTCAGTATATTAGTAAGAACTAATTTATCTGAAGGGTTTCATTCAAGAAACAGATGGCTGAGCTTGTTGAATCATTTGGTATCTGCCTGTCGTATCAAATAGGCCAATTGTTTGTAACCGTACTTATGTTCATAAGCGTAATGTCCTGTTCCCTTCTTGCCAAACATACTGATTCTAATGCTTCAGTATTACAAGGTTAATCTGTCTCACTAGGTACCAGACTGTACTGAAAGCTAATTGTAGCCATATGATGGGAATTGCACACTCTGCCTTAGTAACAGTTAAACTTAATTGGTACATGGAGGTAACAGGTGACTAAGTGACAGAGTTGGCCTCTCCCCCTATCTCAGCTGTGTGAGCTATGTCCCCGAGCCGGAGAACTCTGCCTTGCTGAAGTGTGCCCTGAGCATCTTTCGGCGGTTCAACCGTTACCCCGAGGCACTACGCCTCGCACTAATGCTGAACAACATCGAGCTGGTGGAGAACATCTTCACCTCCTGCAAAGACATGTAAGTCTGGCCCTGCTCTACCCACTCCCGCTTCCTCCCTTCCTGCCTTCCTGGCCAGGGGAGCCAGACTATTGTCTAACGCTCTTGTACTACATCTGCACCTAGTGTATTTTTAAGTTGGCAGTGGGTTTGCTGAAGTGCAGATCTTGTAGTTTCTGGAACTGAATAAAATTACCACTTTTTTATGGAGCCGTAATGTTAAAAATTGCTTTATATTTCCCTTTGCTTCCTGTATTCCACCTTGTATAGTATAATGTGCAACTTCTGCATTTAAAGTAGTTAAATCCAAAGATTACATGAAAAAATTGAGCAAAGGGAAAACATTGATGGTATCACTTTTTTCACATCTCTGTAAGGATTGCTGTCCTCACTCATCACATATGGATCATGCTATAATAATGTCATCGATCTCATGAAAAATTAATTCTAAAGTACAGAGAAAAAGATTGTGAACGCCCAAAGACAAATATGGAAGTTACATAGTTTAATCATGATGGCCTTCCTGAATCCAAACCAGTCTTTTTGTATATATCCAATAGAGTTTATATTAACCAATCATGTCTCTTGAAACAAAATAAAGAAATAAGTTACAGAGGATTTGAAAAAAAAGTGAAAACTCCTTGTTTCATTAGCGCAGTTAAGGGAATAATAAGAAGCAGGTGTTGTAATTAGATCTTGATACAGTTTAGAAGGCCCCTGACTATATAAAGAGCACCCTATATTGGTGAAGTGATGTCTAGAGTACAGGCTGAACTACTTTTTTATTAAAATCATTTACTTGAAAGAAAAATACTTCTAGTTTATTTCCTAACTTTAAACCACTTTTTTGGTTAATCCGGGTCTGAGGTACATCCTGGTGGCCAGCACAGATGACAGGAGAGCTTAGGCAGAGATGAGAAACTAGAAGCAGGAAGGGACAGACCTTTGGAGAGAGCTCAGGACAGGGGCAGCAGTCTTCTGTTTGATTCAAATTGATGTGTGGGCAGTCAGTGAAGATTCTCGAGTTGAATGAGTGTGAGTGCACTGAGATCCCTCTGACCCTGGTGTGTGCTTTTCCAGTGTCATCCAGAAGCAGATGGCTTTTATGCTTGGAAGACATGGTGTCTTTTTGGAGCTGAATGAGGATGTTGAAGACTATGAGGATCTGACTGAGATCATGTCCAATGTGCAGCTCAATAGCAATTTTTTGGCCCTGGCCAGAGAGGTGAGTTGAACAAGACAAGAGGGAGACAGATGTTATACCATAAAGAAAAACTATCAATAAAGGAAAAGTACCTTAAAAATTAAGAGTTGACGAGCACAGGGAATGAATGGGGGAGGTATCCTGGCATATACTGTATGTGCCAAAACCCTAAGACCTGGAGAGAGGTGCTTTAGAAATGTATTTAAAATATTTGTATTTGTGATGTCAATGTGAATAGGTTTTATTTTTCTGTCACTGCTCAAATTACCAACTCTAATATTTCTTTCCATCTGTTTGCGTCTTTATCTCTGTTTGCATCTAAACTTCTTGCTTTTAATCTATAAAACAGTATTGCATGAAAAAGCTTCTAAATTGTAATTTTTAAGACATGTTTAACTCCATTCTCTCTTTGTTCGTGTTTTAAAGTTGGATATTATGGAGCCCAAAGTTCCAGATGACATCTACAAAACACACTTAGAAAATAACAGTAAGTATGACTGATGTATTTGTGAGATACAAAATTTTGAGAGAATTATGTCTGTACTACTGCTAGTTTTATCACATTATTGTTAATGAGCTTTCGAACACAAAACACAAAGATGATATAACTCCACCTTCAGTTTGTATTAATAAACATTAATACAGGTTGCCAAGTGTGTGTGATGCCATGGGTAATGCTCCACCACTGTTTTTTAGGTGTAACATTTCAAACACAGGCATGGGGAAAACAGTTTGGAAGATAATTCTGGTAGACTAAATTCTGTAGGACAAAACCAGTAATATTACATTTCATTACGCTATTCTCCTTATTTACAATATGTCAAATTCGGATGGACAATTCTATTGTCTCTAGACTTTTTAGGCCACTTCAAAGCACCTGAAGATACTGCAGTTAAATTATCATGATTTGTTTCGGTTGTTAAAGTGAAAATGGCATTATGCACAGTGAGGTGTTACAGTGGACATAAGCATTTAGCAATTCATTTGAACAGTCTTTTTCTGCAAATGAAATATGGAGGAAGGGGTAGTTTCCTTTAGCCTAACACAGGACTAACCATTGGATTATCTTTTATTTTCATGCATTGATATAAAAATGTGTTATGTATACTGGCTTCCACCACATATGAAACTCTGTGGGTTTGATGTTGAGTGTGTGATTCAGCAATGGGCATCATGTTGCTGTAGTTGGAAATCGGGAAGTATAGTGTCCGAGATATTAAGATGGCACCAGAATAGCAATTGGAGAAATTTCAATTATATTTTAGTAAAATATTTTATTCCTTGAAGAATTTCAGTTTCTCCTAATTATCTTAGATATTGTGTTATTTCACCTCCTTACCACAAGAGGTAAGGATTTCTTTTTTTATTTTTTTTCCCCCACTTTTCAGTTTTTTGGTCCCGTCAGCAGTTAATAAAACTGTGGTTGGATTAAAGGAGACTATTTCAGTAAAGGAAAAGCACACCAGAAGCAGTTTCTGTCCTTTGTTGTACAGCTCGGGGCATTTCTAAGATGCAGTTATTCTACGACAGTTGTTAAAAATAAGAGTCATGTTTTAAGTTGAAGTAAACATCACTTTTGTCTTGTGCCTCCTTTCAGTACCAAAAAAAACAGTGTATGAGGTTCAGTTTAAGCCACTCTGTTACTGTTAGTTAAAACTGTTAACATGTTTTTTGTGTAAAACATACTTACAATCCACTTGGACAACAAGACTGACTTGTATTACAGTATCATTAATGGGTTCTACTCTGTAATCCTATTGCCACTATTATAAATCTGTTCATCTATATCTCCTGTTAGGCATGATTTCAATATATATCTGCCATAATTCAGGCAGTCCCTGTCATTGTGACTACAACCCTGTTCTCCATGGGTCTTTGCCTTTTCCTCTCCCTTTTCTCTCACTTCTTTTTCTTCCTCTTTCGTTCTTGCTGGCATGACATCCGTTTTCCTTACTATCCCTTTGTCATAGGGTTTGGAGGCAGTGGCTCCCAGGTGGACTCTGCACGGATGAACCTGGCTTCCTCCTTCGTCAACGGTTTTGTGAATGCGGCTTTTGGGCAGGACAAGCTGCTGACGGACGATGGCAACAAGTGGCTGTACAAAAACAAGGACCATGGTGAGAGGCTGGGGCAGGAGAACGGAAGGGCCCTGCCCATATCAAGTGTGGCATTTTCTGCTCTCTTCTTGCTTAAGACCAGTGCAGTCTGCCTTTGGCCCATCATACCATTGCGGTTGTCAGTTCTCAAATTCTATTAAATCCATCAGGTTTCTTCTTGAGTTCCACTTCTGACTTGACTTGCATCTAACAATCTTTAAGAGAGAATCCGTGCTTGCTGGTAAACCTGGAACATTGTTAATTCAGTTTTGTGCTTGAAAAAGTATTAAACAGGGAAGGTCAGAGAAACTAAGGACAAAATCTATATACAAACTCTGAGGCAGATGGCTGGGAATAGTGTTGGAAATAGCCAATGATAATGTCAGCAAATGTGTGTTTTTGCAATATACTCAGAATATCTCTTCATGTACAAAAAATCTACAGCTGATCTGAATTCGGAACAGAGACCAGATACATGGTCTGGGATTGAAGGAATCCCCTGCTCAGGCTAATATAACTGATATTTTTAGTCTTCAACTGAGACTGTAAGGGCACCTGATCCGAGTATTCAGAAACCTGAAAGACTTTGACAAAGTCAGCCGATGGGGCTACAGGAATGTGGATTTATATTTTAGGATGGGGTGCACCTTTTTACACAAAGGGTTAGCTGACCAGCCACACTGTCAAAATTAATACCCTAGCTTCTTTCAGGCAATTACTTCTAGCAATCAAATGAATGGGTATAGGAAGTTTTGTTCTTGTGTGCTTTATTCATCGTGATCAGGCATAATAGGTTTCTGTGAGTGATGTGTGGAACTGTTAATGTGTGATGCTGTGTGCAATTAGCTTGCAGTGCTGTGGGAAATGAGCAGCCACTACATGTGTGTTATTCTGTGCTATTACTTAGTGTTCTTCTCTCTCTGTGCAGGTATGCTGAGCGCTGCTGCCTCCTTGGGGATGATCCTGCTCTGGGACGTAGATGGAGGGCTGACACAGATAGACAAGTACCTGTACTCCTCTGAAGACTACATCAAGGTTAGGGAAATCAGCCAGTCTTCTTGGCTCCAGTAAATCAAAAGGCATCCACAGAAAAAGTGCAATATGTCTCAGGTTTTACAAGCTTAAAATGACTGAATGTAAATTAACACCATTTGTTAATAGTGTGTAGGATATTATAATAGTATACTTTAATACAATCTCTCCGATTGTGCTGAAATCTTACTTCCCCTTCTCATCAGGTTTTTTGCTTCTCTCTTCCCTTCTCCCCTTGCAGTCAGGTGCCCTGCTGGCCTGTGGAATTGTGAACTCAGGGGTCAGGAATGAATGCGACCCTGCCCTTGCATTGCTGTCTGACTACGTGCTCCACAACAGCAACATCATGAGGATAGGAGCCATCTTTGGGTGAGAGCTGCCTGCTGGAGACATTCACACACTCTTATCTACACAGACTGTGCTGTGGCCCTTGAGCTCAGACCTGGTGCAGGGGTATCTGGCATTGTCTGGATTTTGTTTTGGCTGTGCTGTATGTAGTTTCAGTGCATTCCCCCTCTGTTTAAGATGTAGGTTTACTCTAGGGTAGGGATGGCCTGTCATGATCTCAGACCATCTCAGACAGGCTGGAGAACTAAGACTTGGAACATGTGAGTTACTAAATTGGTCAAACCTGTAGTAGTTCAGTCCAGAAAAGCCAATAATGGTACAAGGTCTTTCTCTTTTTATTTTGAAGGTTTTCTAAACTACTTAATTTGAACATATTATATCCTCCAGTGGCCAAAGCTCAATTGTTCTGTTTAGAAATTTATGATTTATAGTTGACCCCTTAATCCCTCCGTTCGTGACATTATATAGTGCTCCAAGAAGGCACTGGTGGCCCATCAGATCCAGGGCAGAAAACCACTAGGGTATATTGTTTTAATGCAGTATAAGTCACATCCTAAGAAGGATTTTCTTTTTGTGGTTAAAATCTACTGAATAACACTGAGCGTGTTTCCAACCTGTGATTAGCAGGTGATATGCTTAAGATTTTGTCTGTGATGTTGCAGATGTTAACTGTGAAGTTTATCTTGATCAGTTCAATTATACATTTCTGTTGCTGGCCTCTTGAAGTGTGTGTATATATATATGAGCGTGTATTCTTAAAGATTATGAAAGTATTTGTAAACAATTTTAATCAGATTTAAAACAGTCCATCAGATTACTTTATCCAGAGTTACTGATCCTGAACATATAATTACCCAGTTGCACAGTGAATTAAGTTTGTATTGTATAGTTTTAGCTGTTCATGTTATATGCCATTCATAAATTATGCATAGATGAAGAAGTCAGAGTGCTTTAGAATTTAATTGATTTTCCACATGTAACAGTAAGGTTTGTGTGGTTACCTTTCTTCCATTGTATTAAACAATTCATGCTTTTGAAGATTTTTAACACTTTAACATTTTTTAAGTTGCTTCTCGTAGTGTGCTTTTCAGGTGAGCATTGCTGGCTGTTTGTTTTAATTTCGCTTGAAAAATAGTTACACAATCACTGGGCGCTTCTAAGCCGGAGGTTGGAAGCTGCAGCATAGGCTGGTGCGCGATGCTGAGCGACGTGTGTGTCTGCTGTCTCAACAGGCTGGGGTTGGCATACGCCGGTTCGAACCGTGAGGATGTGCTGTCTTTGTTGCTGCCTGTTATGGGTGATTCCAAATCCAGCATGGAGGTAAGAAGCCACGCTGCCAGGGGCGTCATTACAAGATCCCACTGTACAACTACACAGTCCATTTCAAGGTTTATTATACAAATCGATGTGATGGAATGGAAAAGAAAATATAATGCATATGCATTTGTTTTTTAAACATTTTCTGTCTAAACTTCTGCCAGTTTGCTGAAAACCAATATGAGGTACTAAATTAAGGTTGTGGCTTATGTTTGTGAGCCTGCAGCATGTAAAAACTGGAAGTGCTGTGCATTATAAAAAAGGTTGAAAACAAGAGGAGGGCACGTAGCCCATCTGTCAGTAGCTAAGTAATCCAAGGATCTCATCGAGCTGTTTCTTCAGAGAAGCCAGGCTATGGGCTTCAGCAATGGGTAGCTTGATCCCTACTGCCACAAGCCTTGGGGTAAAGAAGCCTTTGTTCCTGGTTTTAAATACACTTCCACATTATTTCCTTTTGTGTCCTCTGGTTTGTTACACTGTGAATTCTGAAGAAATCCATTGGGTTAACTTTGTCAGTGCCTTAAGAAAAGACCTATTCCCAAGTCACATATCTGAAGACAAGCACCAGCTGTACAACTGCAAAGCTAAATTCACACTGGACTTCTGTTGCCAGTCTTCAGTAATGCACTTTTAGTCTCAGTGGTGTTTCAATTATTTTGCTCTCCGTCTCATCTTTTTAAGATCTGTCTTGATCACTGTACATCCTCTTACTGTGTCTCTTTCAATTTTGTGCTACTTCTCCCTTTCCCCTGAAGTTTCTGTCTCATGCCTATGGCTGTCTTTGTGTCTCACACTCCCCCTCTTCTTCCTCTCTCCAGGTAGTGGGTGTGACGGCGCTGGCCTGTGGGATGATTGCTGTGGGCTCCTGTAACAATGATGTCACCCCCACAATTGTGCAGACCATCATGGAGAAGTCAGAGCAGGAGCTAAAGGACACCTACGCCCGCTGGTTGCCCCTGGGGTTGGGTCTCAACCACCTGGGTGAGGGGAGAGGAGGGCTAGAGCTCTCTGCTGGTCTGGCTGTCTGTCTTCCTTTTTGTCTGTCTGCAGTCTCTCATCAATATCCTTTATAACTAATTGTTTCTGTCTCCTCTCTCATCCTCTCCCCCATACTTCTGTGATGACTGTATGTGCCAGCAGCCACAATGCTGGTGGTTCCTTAGCGAGGAGGCTGTTGTTGATCGTGTTATTAAGAGTTGTATCTCTCCATTTGTCTCACAGGTAAAGGGGAGGCCATTGAGACCACGCTTGCTGCCCTGCAGGTTGTCCCAGAGCCATTCCGCAGCTTCGCCAACACACTGGTAGAAATCTGCGCCTATGCAGGTCAGTGCCCCACATGTGTAAGAAAGAACACACTTCACAGCTTAGACTTAACCTACTGGGTGAGCTCCACTTACACTTTTTTCTTACACTATTTTGTGTAAGAAAATACACTATCTGCACACTTGTGTACACAGATGAAGATATCTTAAATTAAGAGCCTGTATATATTGCAGTTTCACAGGCACTGCAGTACAGTAGTTTTGAACTCTCCATCACTCGAGGTTATAAGCAAAAGCCTGCAGTTTGTAAAACATGAAATGAATCAATAGATTATTCATTTTGCTGAATTTTTACAGCTGGGGATTATTCTGAATCATCACAAGTGAAATACCTTACTCAGCAGTAAAATACCATACTCCCTTACTCTGGTTGTACCCTTCCTGTTGTGAGTGCAGATGCCAAACCACTGGTCCACACTGCTCCTATTGTAGCATACCTCATATCTTATTATTAATGAGTTATAGGCAGTTTCAGGCATCCCTGTGCTGGTTGCTGTTTACTCATTAAATTCCTGTGACCAGCGCTCAGGTTGCAGTGATTTCCTTGCTGCATTCATCTCAAACTGCATTATGCACAGTGACAAGTTTCAGTCCTTACTGATGGGCCAGAGAGAAATTGTTCACTTTACAGTCACTGAATTAAAAAGTGTGCTTTATAACAAGATTTCCGTATTTTTAAGAGTTTACATGAATTCCAGCATTTCACTCCCCTTTCTGTCCACGCCTCTACACTCTCCTCTCATAAGAACAGAAAGTTTAAGAAGGAGAGGAGATTATTCAGCCTGTCTTGCCCTTTCGATTAGTAGGTAGTAGCTGATTGTAGTTCTTTTCTTTCTGACTCTCCTTGTTCCTCCTTTCCCTCTTCCTCTCCAGGCTCAGGCAATGTGCTGAAGGTGCAGCAGCTGCTCCACATCTGCAGTGAGCACTATGACAACAAGGACAAAGAGGAAGATAAGGATAAGAAAGACAAAAAGGAAAAGGAGAAGAAGGAGAGCTCTCCTGACATGGGCTCTCACCAGGTCCGGCACACAAGCCTTGGTGTCCAGCCAGCACCAGCTCTGGCCTTCTCAGCCTAACACATACCCCTTTTCAGTGTAACACCTGAAGAGAGCTGTCTCAGTGCAGCTTGTTACCCACTAGCTATTTTGCCAAGTTGAATCAAAATCAAACCAAAGAACTCTGGCATCACCCTTGTCGCCATCATTGTTGCTGCAGTTAGGAATTATTGGTGTTCTAATTTTTTGTATGCTTCTTATTGACTTTATAAATGTTCAGCACTGTTAAAATTTTGACCTGTGCCTCATCTAAAACTGATAATCGCATTCTTTGCTTTTTCAGAAATGAAAAGGTGGAAATAGTCCCTTAAAAATTTAGTGACCAAACTTTCAGATTCCTATTCATTACTACTTTCATTGATATTGTTTTGTTTATAGTCTGCAGAATTTGGTCTCTCTGCTGTTTTTAACTGGTAGTTACATTTTGTTTCCTACAACACCCAATAGGTGTTATGATATCTGTATTTTTTATTATTTTTTGTTTTCGTTGTTTTTTTTACCTAACCTTTAGAATTTTAAACAGTGCTTTGTTAAGGATATTGTTTACCCAGCTACCAACATTTCATGATTTACTGAAAATTACTGAATGCACACTATTCCACATGTATAGTAAGGGAGTTTTCCCTCACATACAAATGTTTCCCCATTCACACTTTTAATTTGTTTTATACCAGGATAACGCATGGAAAACCATAGGAAATATTTAATCAAACAGGCATTAAAAGAATTATACTATGTAGCAACGGTGCTTCATCTTTGGTGACAATGCTATAAGAAATATAGATGGTTGATGATTGTCTGAATAGTGCTCTCTGTTGTCCCCAACAGGGTGTTGCAGTGCTGGGAATCGCACTGATTGCAATGGGGGAGGAGATTGGGGCAGAGATGGCCCTTCGGACATTCGGACACCTGGTTAGTACCGACACTCTTACCTGCAAGAAGAAAGAATACAGTTGAAAAATTAGAGTAAAAAAGTGCTCATTTAGCGTGCCCTGTTGACTTCAGGGTGGTGATTTATATTTGATTAAAATGTTAAAATGTGTGTAGGCATTAAATTTGTTTTCCATATAAGATGAAGAAAGTGGTTTTATGCATTATTCTGCCCAACTCTGTGTGCCATCAGCTGCGGTATGGGGAGCCCACACTGCGGCGGGCAGTGCCCCTGGCTCTGGCACTGATCTCTGTGTCGAATCCACGGCTCAACATCCTGGACACACTCAGCAAGTTCTCCCACGATGCTGACCCCGAGGTGTCCTACAACTCCATCTTCGCCATGGGCATGGTGGGCAGCGGTGAGTCTGGAGGGGGGCATTGCTGCCATTCATACTACTGAGTACTTCCAACCACCGCTGGTGTTCACAAAACAGCTGTGAGGGTCTTCCGTGAGTGACATGTTGAAGACTAAGTAGTGGTAGTCTAGATATCGAAGTAACGTTTTCATAGTTTTACCTTAAGTAAACCTTTAGGTTTGATATTTAGTCTGTAATAAATCATTTTATTAGGGAGAAGTATCAGAAAAGGAAATGCTTTCACCATGACAAGTTTCAAGTTTTGTTTCAAGCCAATGCCTGTGATATGTTCAGCAATCTGTTTTTTTTATCTCTCGGATAAGTTATTCTTAGTATTTCTGCAATCCATTGGTGCACAGAAAAAATAAGTATTGTTGGCTTGTCACTAGAGGGCACCCCTTACAAATGCCACATGCAGTGGTTTCAGTCACAAACCACATGTTTTCTGAAACAATGTAAGAACCTGGGGTTTCTTAATTAAACCACATTGTCTGAAATGGAGGTGCAAACGTCATATTCTAATGCCTACTATTAGACATGCAGCTTATTGTTGGGGGCTTGCTATGACAGTGTCTGGACAAATTCTTTTGGAAATGATTTTGAATTTCTCAATTTGATAATGGCTTTTCCTGATATTTTACATTAATAAACCTTCCTTATTCCTGCAGTCTCTCTGCTTTCACTGTTTCATTACATCTGCATTAAGTCATTATTTTGGTTGGCCAGGCTTGTAAGAGCTATGAGACCTAACTCTGGTATTATCATAGCTGAGTGTGCTGGAACAGTAAAAGCAGGGTAGAATGAAAGAAAGCTGGGGTGAAAAGTAGAAATTGAAATATCTGGAACATTTAAATAGCTAAACCACATTTGTAAGGGCTAAGGGATTCTTCAGAAGCATTAACTATATTCTACAAAATGTGTTAAAAAGAAACCGCATGCCTTTAAATGAATTTTGATCTTCTGTTAATTAAGGAAGTATCAACTATATCTCCAGTTCTCTCTTTCATGATATGAACTCATACAAAATTTCAATTTCTTGTCTTTTGTCTGCTGTCCACACTGCCAGGAACCAACAATGCCCGTCTGGCTGCCATGCTGCGGCAGTTGGCACAGTATCATGCCAAAGACCCCAACAATCTCTTCATGGTTAGGCTGGCACAGGTGAGGAAGCCATTGTAGTTGGTACTGATCCCTGCAGCATGTGTCTGTATCCCCTTCTGAACCTGCCTGTATGTTGGTATAAATATGTATCTGTGTATTTGTGTGAGCCTCTCAGGCTGAGGGCCTTGGCTGCTCTGAGTTCTGAGTGTGAGGAGGTGTCATGTTGTGTTCTCAGGGTCTGACACACCTGGGTAAGGGCACCTTGACCCTGTGCCCCTATCACAGTGATCGGCAACTCATGAGCCAGGTGGCCGTGGCAGGACTGCTCACCGTGCTCATCTCCTTCCTGGATGTCAAGAACAGTAAGTGCTAAGTCTGCATTAGCTCTTTTTCCATCTTGCTTGGTTTTTCCCTCTCCCCATCTGTTATCCCTTTTCTTTTTTTTCCTTCCTTGTCCTTGTTTCTGCCTCTTTCTTTTTTTGGTGAAGTCCACAGTCCTAGAATTAGGATGATTTATGGATAAGTGGATTTTGCATCCAATTTTATATAATAGAGGTATTCTTACCTCAGCATTGTTGGATTAAATTCATAATTCTAGTTCACTGTAGTATTAATCAGGATATTGGCTAACTGCTGTGACTTGGTAGCATTTTCCAGGCAGTCATTGTGAGCATCTGTCCCTGAGAAGTGTGTGTATGCACTAAAACATTATAATTTATCCTAATCAAGCAAAATGAAGCATTGAAATCATTTATCTTTAAATGTTTAACTATATATATCATCATGGTGTGTATGTCATGGCTAAAACGTTTCTAAAAGATCCTGGAAATGTCCTGTATTAACTTTGTGAATAGAGTGGAAACCCTATATTTCCAGCACATCAGTAATAACAGTTTAAATCCAGTTCTCATAAAATGTGGAAAAAACTGACGAGGTGAAAATCAGGGGCTGCTTTAGAATACAAATTGCACAGGAACAAGTAGGTGCTAGTTCTGTGCTGAAAAGCAAAAAAGGACGACAGAATGTTTCAGCTGTGAAGCATCTTCAGGTGTATAAGGATAGCATGAGAATAATGAGTGAGGAGGACAAAAGGTGTGTGAGAATGGAGAGGGGGAGGCAACAAAAGGGGACTAAAGATATGAGAATGTGAGACATACTCCAGGGGAGTGTAGTGGGTGGAAATCTGTAAATGAATGGTGAGATTTAAAAATAAGTCAGTCGATCCATGAGTTGTGAAGTTGTGAGCCCTGTTTAAAAGTAATTTTGCAAAAGAAAGGATTGTTTCTTTAAAAACATCAGGAGCCAAAGATTCTCTTTAAACTTGGTTCACACCTTCCCCAGCTCTCAACGATTGACTAATTTCCATTTCTTTGGACCTACTTTGTTACTTTTCCCGGTCTGTGCTCACATATTCTTTCCTTTGTCCCCTTACTCATGCCTCAGATTCTTACATTCCCTCCTTCCCCCACACACATAAGGAGACTCAACAGCTGAAACATTTACTTCTTCCTATTTCCTTTTCAGCATGGAACTGACCTCTGTTTGTTCATAATAAACTTAATTCCAGCTACTTAAAAACTGCAATTTACAGCTCAGTAACCCTCTAAATTGCAGTTTTAAACATAATACTGGTACATAAGATGTTTTAGCACTTGGAGGATAAAAAGCAGTGCAAAATAAATACATAACCATTCATTTTTAGACTGCTTTATCTAATTCAGGGTTGTGGGGGAGCCAGAACTGTCCATGCAGACAGCTGGTGCGAGGCAGGGTACACTCTGAACTGGACACCAGTCAAACACAGGGCAGACATACATAAAACACAGACACTCACACCAGGACCTATTAATTTACCAGTATGCCTTTGGACTGTGGGAGGATATCGGACCACCTGGAGGAAAATCATACAAACGCAGGAAGAATATAAAAACTTCACATACTCCATTCCAGGTCAATAATTTATCCCAAGGCCCCTGTGCTGCAGGGCAGCAATGCTAACTACTGCCTCACAGTGCGACGTGTATTAAAGATTATTTAAAATATTTTATTATATGAAGGCTAAAGTAGAAATAAAACCAAATACTCTTTTAGCTGTCTGTCTTGAAGCTCTTGTATCTTTTTCACCTTTCTGCTGTCGGTAGTAATTTTTTGTTGCTGAGCCTTGTCTGCAGTGCCACTCTCATGGTCCTCTCTGTCCTGTTCCAGTTATCCTGGGAAAATCCCACTATGTGTTGTACGGGTTAGTGGCAGCCATGCAGCCCCGCATGCTGGTGACGTTCGACGAGGAGCTGCGCCCGTTGGCGGTTTCTGTGCGTGTTGGACAGGTGAGTCTGGAAAGGGACCTGCAGTATGTAACCTAGTCAAGGACAGAAGTCTCAGTAACCACTTAATAAACAACCTCTGTTTGTCCATTAAATCCAGTTGAAATTATTAGATAGATACTTTATTGATCCCGTGAGGGAAATTGCAGAAAATTTCCCTTGCAGAAAATTATTGTGTTTAACTGTTATAATCAAAGCTGCAGCCCCAACTTGTGCCACATTCTTTATTAATGCATTCATTCATGATGCATAAATTACCACTGTGTAACAGTTATACAGGTAATAGCTCCCCTTTAGTGACAACACTGCTAATATTCAGTAGTTAAGCTGGTATGGATAGAAAAAGACATGGCTTCAAGTGTCTTAATAAAGATGGAATGGAATAGTGCTTCACACCTAATGTAGTTCTGAGAAGCTTGCAGTCCAGATAACTGAATGATTACACTAGCTGCCATCCTGCAAGAGCAGACAGGCTGGTGTTGGGGTGTTAGTTTCATGTGTTTTGTGTGTCTCCAGGCGGTGGATGTGGTGGGACAAGCAGGGAAGCCCAAGGCCATCACAGGCTTCCAGACCCACACCACACCGGTGCTGCTGGCCCATGGGGAGAGAGCCGAGCTGGCCACCGAGGAGTACTTGCCCGTTACGCCCATCCTGGAAGGCTTCGTCATCCTGCGCAAGAACCCCAACTATGACGCCTAGAACTCCCTCACCCCCTATGGGGGCTCTCACTGCCCCTGGACTTGTCTCACTCTCATTCTGTTGTATTCTGCCCCCTGGGCTAGGAGAGCCATCTCCTGAAGAAGGAGACCACAATGCTGCGAGAGGAAAACCAGCACCCACAGATAATGCGTTTTGGCAGATGTTTATCATGTTTTTTTTCCTTTTGTAATAAGCGCATGAAATGCCAGTCTGTTATAACCAGAATTATTTTTTTTGTTTTGTTGGTTTTGTTACAGTACTGTTAAAGGTTATGTAATAAATTTATTTCTGGTCCACTCTCTGGACTGTGAAAGTTTGTTTCGGTGTGTAATTGAAGACCATAATTGAGGGGCTGTAATGTCAACAGAAAAATTATTTAAAAAACCCTACAGAATTTTATGAATGCATTGTGGACTGTCATAAACAAGGTTTGCAGTGCACAGGCAATGTTTTGGACTTGCAATAAAGTGCTATGTATTTTTTAGCATGGGACAAACTGTCAGTAAATCCATGTATTAAATATTCTAATAAAATTTCTTGTTCTCTAATTGAAAGCAAGCAAACCGCTAAAAAAAAGCAGTGTCCATTCAGTTTCGTAAAGTTTCCCAAGTCTAAACTTAATTTGAATACTAATTTGTTTCTGCTGTCATTCTGCATTGAAAACCTGTAGGTGTACTTATATTGATATATGCTGCGCTTAGTGTTCTGAGGATTTTTCTGGTACATATGGTGTTAATTTACTATACTGGTTTTCTGACTTGTGAACATCCAGTTAACCAGGTGATCATTTTAATTATATTTTCCTGCTTCCTCTGTGCTTGTCACAGAAGTTTTTCAGTGGAGCTTTGAGTGAAAGTTAAAATTAGAAAATTAATTTTGACTGCTAAATAGACTTATGTTATTTTTTTATATATTTAACATAAGAGAAAATTCCTTGAAGTTTCAGACTGGAATGTGGAAGAATGTAATGCTCTCGCATACAATAGCTGCTGGCATGTCTGTGATGTTGCACATATCTCTGGGTAGAACTGCTGTACAGCCGTGCTGAAGGTCTCAGTTCCTCTGCATCCTCTCCTGTGTACATTAGAGCAGTACTCCTGATCCTGGAGTGCCAGAGCCTTGACAATTTTATAGGTAACCCACACTCCTCAGTAGCTACATTATAACTAAATTGTAATTAGGTCAATGACTCACTTTCCTCACATAATTCTAGATTTTCTTGCTCTATTCCACTCCCCTAGCAACCCTCTCACTGTATCACTGAAAAGGGTGGTGGCACTGGTTTCGTGTGTGCTGACTTAATCCTGCCTTGTCCACTCTCTTCTAACACCTTCGAGTTTCATGCTGTTTATCACACTGGGTGGAGTAATGGTGAGGACTTCAAACTATAAAAGGATGTGGATTCAACACCCAGGTGGGACACAGGTGGGTATTGAGAAAGGTACTTCTCTCAAGTTGGTTTAGTGAAGCGCCCTGTTGTATTCATGGGTAGTTAGTAAATGATAGCTTGTTCTTAACCTGCCAATCAGCTGATGTTTGTGTTACCATTTCCTAGCTGGGGTTTCCTAAATGAGTTGAAAGGCTTCCTCTCATTTATAACTTGTAATCAATTGATGTATGTGTCCCAGTCCTGTTGTTGTTTCTCCTGTCTGTCTGACATGTCAGAATCATGACTCTGGTACCCCTGAGTGGAAAGCAGTGAGGGGGTAGAAGACTCTTAGCCTTTATGCATGATTTGAACCATTGTGTGCCAGTGACTGAGCCTATGTCTCTGTTCTGTGACTGAGGAGACAAACCTGTTGGCCTGCACAGAAGCTGCTGTTGGTAAAGAACATTGTCTGGCCTGCCAGTTTACAAAATCCTCTCTACAACCCCCAGCTTTTAACAAATTACACTACACTGACACTTAAGAAACCTAAACACTTAAAGCTCTATCATTTTGCTCATTGCAAATAGTTGGAATAGTGCTCCTCCAACAGCACCTGAAGTCATAGGGAGGCCTGTAACTAAAAACTAAGTTTGTGTGTAACCATGTCTTCTGTTTGCTTTGTGAACCCAAAAGCATATTGGTGCTGTTTTCCGTAGCTTAGCATTATTAGGGTTAGTGCATTTTTATCTTAGGATCACCAGTCCATCGTACTCACAAACACTAGGACTGCTTAAAGATGCCAGTTAACATAGGCAGCATGTCTCTGGGCTGCGAGAGTAAACAGGATCACCTGGAGTAATCCAACAGGGTAACTAGGAGAAATGCAGACTTCACACGGAATCACCCCAAGCCAGAAGCAAACCCTGGAACCAGGAGCTGCAAGGCAGCAGTGCTAACCATCACGCTACTACGACACACTCATTATGTGCTGTTATGGTAGTTTAGCATTCGGAAAATATAGGAGATGAAAATGAATCTTCTGAACCCAAAGATCAGTTGCTCTTTAGTCAGTAATATACTTTCATTTAATAAATTTTGAGGTTAGTTTTTGTTCAATTTAACTAAAAACGCACTGGTAAAAATTGGCTACATTGGTCAGCACAGACAAGATAACAGATGAAAGAAAACGTTTCAGCCGTGGAGCCTTCTTCTGGTGTCAACACCTGAAGAAGGCTCCATGGCTGAAACGTGGTTTCTTTCTTCTTTTTTTCAGCATGGAATAAACCTATCACTTATTCCTTTGCAGCCTACGCATGCTGACGCAGCTACTCACCCAAGATAACAGATGGAAAGAAGGGGATGCTGTGACTAGCAGTAGATAAGTCACCTCCAGCTATTTCTGCTGGCCCAAACACTTTAATCATCAGTGTGAAAAGCATAAATTTGATGCTTTTTAAAAAGGCAGTGCATTGTTGTGCTCCACTGTCACCACACTGTCAACTGAAGGTCATTCCACTGTGTTACAAATTGTGAATGTGCTTATCACATTTCAAGGAAAAGCAATTCCTGGTGAGGAAAAGCACATTTTTGTGTTGCTTTTATTAAGAAATATAGAGGATATAGAAAGCCTGCACTCAGGTTTTGCTCTTTTGTGGTGTCAGATGTGACACGTGATCAACCAATGGTTTCAAGTAACCATAAGAACTGGGACACATTCACTTCGGGTAAATCTTGGTGTGAAGTGTAGGGTGTAAAATTCAGTATTGGATTGTATACTCTTCTGAAGCAATAACTGCATGGTGTCCACAAACCTCTGATCTCACCAAACTCGTTTGTTGAAATATTTTAGATACTTTGCTGTAGTAACTTAGAGTCAGTGTTCTGAGTTGCAAAATGCGTGCACAACTGGATTTCAACCTGGATCTTCAACCAAGACCTTGGTTGCGTTGGCTGTATGCTTTGGATCACTGTTGAACTGCATGGTATAGCACTGGCGAGTAAGTATGGCAGTATTTTCTTCTTTAAAATCAGATTAAATGTTTCTGTAAACTTCAGAATACATTCTACTGGTGCATTCATTAGTTGTATAATCAATTCTATCAGCAGCTCTGCCCACCAGCTACTCTTCTATATTATATGCAGTATAGATGAGTTCCTGAGGGTTATGACTCAGGGAAAGATGGAAGGAAAAGGGGATATCATGACTAATAGTGAACAAGCCAGCAGCAGCTATTTCTTCTGGTCACTACACGTTAAACCTCAGTTAACCTTCCTGATTTAAGTACCTTTCTGTGGAGAGACAAAATGAGGTTCCATTGAAAACATTCAGACACAGTCCGTGATTTAAAATAAGTTTCAGTATCAATAGTTACATTGACCCCTCAGACATTGAAGGCTGCCCACTCTGTTGCATTAAGAAAATCTATGTGTTTGCAACAGTTGCTACACAGCCCCACCCACACTTGCAAAAAAGACCCAGCAAGTCTAGATCCTATTATGACCTTTTCTGTGAGGTCACATTCAACATTGAACCTGCCCAAATCTCGCAAGCTTACTTGCACATGGTCAGGTAATGCCACGTATCGTTCTTGAGCAAGTGACAAAAAACAACTTTGTTTATTCTCTAAAAAGCATTTTTCTTATTGGAACGATTGGCAGTCTCAGGTCACATGACGAGGGTGAAGAATTCCTGCCGCCCTAGTCACATGACAAGAGTGTGAGGATTCCCATTGTAATTAACCCGGAAGTCTCTCACGGTTTCCGTGAGGCTCCGTCCGGCTTTGCGGACTCAAGGAGAGAAAGGTAATGATATGGCTCTTCACTTCACTCTTTGCTAAATCTGTATCGTGTGGACACATTGCCGTCAATCCGTGTGCATCTGCGCTTTAAACATGGAGCTCCGGCACAGAAGCTCTCATTCGGGACACATGCTCACCCAATAAGATATATTTAAAGCAGTATTGATTTATTTGATTTCTCCTTTTTTTGTTTTTCTCGTATGCTTCCAGGGGATTTAAAACACACTTCTCGCCTAGATCAGCAGCCCCCCTTTCCCCCCAAAAAAAGGTTAGGACACCCTCTTTCCCTTGGAACTGGAGCCGAAGAAGCGATTTATAGGTTTGGGGGAAAAAGTGAATAGAAACGGACGAAGTACGGAGACAGAAAAGATCTTTTCTCTGTGAGCCCTTGTTCTGTCCCCTCTCTGCATGTCCTTTATTCACTTTAGGTAAGCAGTCTCTGGGTTTTATTTTCTTCTTTTTTTCCTGGGAATAGCTGTTTAAATAGTGGTTTCATTCCGGCAGTAAAAACGTTAAGTGTCTGTTTGGGGGGCTCGGTTGTTTTATATATTTCGGACCTGTTTTGCTGCTGACGGGTGGGTGAATCGAGTTGCCTTCTGTGTGCATTTTGGACAGAACTGGCATTTCTGGACCGTGTTTTCGCGTAAGCTGTTTGTCGGGAGTTGGCAAACCCGATCTCTTTAAAATTGACTTCTGCAGAAACGTTTTCACAACCGGATTGGCCGTTATGTAGACGCATTTTTTCCCAGTATCCCGGAGACAGTGTAGTTAAAATGTAGCTGGAAGAGCCCGTATTACTTTTTCGCTTGTGAAGCAAGAATATCATTGGGTTGCAGTGCCACAATACTGGAGCCCGACTCGGGGTAGGCCCCAAGCTTTTTAATTATTTATAATGAAAATAAATGGAAATGTCGGGATTTATACTCCGTAAAGCTTGGGGTTTATAATGATGCCTCGCCGGCCTGTGTCACGGAATCTCTTCTTGGTGATTATTTGTTAGATTCAAATCGCTGCGTGTTTTTAAACAAGATCACTGTCTTCTTGGACTGCGTGCATTCACGCAGATGGGGTTGCTACGCTAGGCCCCCTCGATGGGAGCCCAGGCCCTTCATAGTTCGGTGAAGCTCGGCTGCTTCTTGTAAAATATGGTGGGAAGGGGAGGCAAACCACTGAAGCAGAGGGATTGAGATATAATCTTTGAGTAGTTTGGAGTCGGACCTTATTGTTAAGTTTTGCGCCGGGAGTGAAAAGTCGATTTGCCCCTGTTGAGCGCTGATTGGGAGGACCGACCTACCATATGCTCGGCTGAGAGAGACAGCGTGACTTTAGAGAACCGGCTTCCTCCTACTGCTTGGACACGTACTTTAAACGGGTAGATGAGTCAGTGTTTTCGAATTTTTTTAAGGGATCGGTGTTTTTTTTAAAGGGTGGGTATAAGTTTTAAAAATGCTGCGTTCTCTCTATCGGCCAGTGGGGAAACTGCCTTTCTTGACTCTTAAAAGGCATTGCTTGTCACTTGAGGTCGAGACATTTTTTGTCCTCTTCTAAAAATAAAATGCTGTGGGAGGATAAGCGAGTTTAATTGGGTTTGTTGTGTTTACTGTTTACAGTTAATGTTCAGGACGCTAAATTGGACTTCAAACTCATAAATAAGTACATCTGGTTGGAAGTTCGAGGCCTTCACAGCTCCTCCAGTCTCCTCGCTTCTGGCGATTTTTTAAAATGTGTCTGTACGTTTTTCAGAAGTCGAAATTAAGTTTTGTCGGTTTCCATGTCATACTAGGTAAAAACGTGTTTTATTTATTTCGTAGACGATTTTTTCCAAAGGGTGGCCTTGATCGCAATGTGCATTGACATTTCTGATGGTGGGAACTTATTTTTTTCATTGTTTAATGTACTTTAGGGCTTGGTTGAACCGGTTTTTTCGTTCGGTTGACGTTACAGGGTGCACGACCGGGGGTCTGCGTTATCGTGCGTACGCTGCACTGTTTACAGTCGTTTTGAATGACACTCGGTTTGAGAAAAACGGGAACGTGTTAGGACGATACATCTGCTCGGGTATGTGTGTTTATCCTTATTATTAATTGTAGTAGTATTAGGGGGCGAAAAGACGGACACGGCTGAGTTGTCATTAAAGTTGTGGCGCTTTGCTTTCCCCTTCTCTGTGAAATAGTGACACGTACCGCGTATGGAGAGACTTGTATACGTCTTTCTAAATGGCATTACGATATCGATACGGCTCACAACCACCCTTATCCCCCGAGTTCGAGCCTTGTTTGTTTTTGTGGAGTTGGTTTCGAGAGTGAGACGGGGGAGTTATTTTCTGAAGCGGGCCCTTTTTTCTGAAAGTCGAGTTTTCCATCATGGCTGGCAGAGATGGGGGGGATGACACGTTGAGTGTGCCGAGAGGGAGGCCGGGCACTGCGGGGACCAATCCGGAACTTTTAGACCTCTCATTTTAGGATTTGGACACGATTGCTTAACGGACTCACCTTTACTGACCCTGTTGTTGGACAAAACCGTTTAGGCCTCTGTTATTTTGCAATCGTTTTGCAATCCAAGAGGTAGGTTAGTTGTTTCATTACCGTAAATTCACCGAATTAAGCGAAGCTAAATCGCATTTGGCGTATGAAGAGAAGTTTATCAAGGCTGCGGATCCTTACACAGTTTGGGTAGCAGATATAGACATTTCCCGGGGTGTATTTTTGGGGAGTGAAAACGACACGTTGTAACACTGCCGTCCTGGTGAGAGAGAGAGCGGCGTTCAAGGCCTACATAGTAAGGTCGTGAAAAACTCGCGTATTTCAACTTAGTTCGGCATGTGATAGTGATATAAATGGGAAACGGGCCACTTCGACATGTACGGTGTCCCACCCGACTAGGGTGGGAGCCAGGAGGCGTTATTTGATGTGGTTATACGGTCGGTTTATTTCATGTGTGAAGCCTGAGCGGCTCTGAATGACACGGGGTGTGCGTGCGCGCGTTTGGAGACCTGGGCAGAAGCCGGCAGCTCTGCGCGCTCTGAGCAGGAACCACGTGGTGCACCGGGAGCTGAGACAGAAGGGAGCAGGAGAAGCAGCATGGCGCTGCACAGAATTAACGGCACGCTGTAATGTCGCACCCATTTGAACCCAGCGGGGCCTACGTTAATGTTTAACACCTAGGTTCCCGTCATAAATAACACCACTTTGACTGCTGTGACTCGCTTTTTTTTTTCTACCGGGCTGCCAAGGCGCCCGAGAAGAGTAATTTGCGAAGCATTGTGCTGCCGAACGCTTTGACCATTTTTTAATGCAGAGTAAGTCGATAATGCATCGAGGTGCAATATGCGTACGTTGTAAAAAAATGTGCATTTAATCGTTAGACTTTATTTCGGAGATAAACCCCCTGTAGCTGTATGTTGCAGTTTTTCCTAGGTAGGGCATGATTTGTGCATGTTCTGAAGTAGTACTTAAACGCAAAGTACACGTTGAGGAGACTTCGCCGTGTAACCCGAGGAGTACACACAGGTGTTGCTGCAGGAAAAAAAAATGTTCTACCCGAAGTCATTTGACCGACAAGACGTGCATGCAGAGATCTGGAGGAATGTGCATTAGGGCTGGGTTCAAAATGGATGCCACTCAAACCCAGAGCACTAGTCTGTCCCTGTTGTCTTAGCGAGCAAAACATCTTCGTCAAGCTCACGTTTCCAGACATAGTAGTCTGGATGAGAGTGCATCAGTCTATCGATTGTGTGATAAAAAGCGATAGTCGGGATTGTTTATTGAGTTTGGTGGTGTTCGTGGAGATATTAAAGATGATTGAGTACAGAGTTTACCTCCAAGCTGCACTCAATGTCGTGATCATGCCTCTCCTTTCTCCCTGTCTTCTGTTATTTTAAAATGTAGCTCTAAGCCCTATTGAATTAGTTTAGATTGCCATTTAATTCGTGAGCGTTTACCCTTTCTGACCACACTTAATAGTAATAAACACTTTTGATGCATGTATAAGAATTTGAAATCTGGTCTTAGCCATTACTAGAAGTGTTACATAATTAAAGACTTATCCACAGGCTTTAAAAAGTTTCCAGACTTAGTTCTTGCATGGCCATGGTGTCTTCTGGGTCTCGTTTTCCCCATGTTCACGCAGAAAGTATTAGGTTAACGAGCTTCACAATGGCAACAACCATGTTCTCAGGTAATTTACAGATAACTGCTTCTAATGATGCAAATGTCGTGTGTAATCGATTGTTCCGTATATTAAGGCAATGCCATATATGGGATTTAGAAAATAATCAGGTTAATTGATTGGCCACGCGGTGTAGGGCAAGACCCAGAAGACGAGGCACTGCGGGATCAGTGTGTGAGTCCCCTGTTTTAAAGCTTGAGTTCAATCAGGACTGAGTGGTCGTGATCCACTAGGGCCAGTGTGTCTGCATGCTCTCATTCCAGCTTGACTCTTCATGACTCAGCAGGTGAGTTTGGGTTTAATGGGACCAGCATAACAGCCTCTTCTCTTCTTTGGTTCCATGGCTTTGAACAGACCATGAGAACCTGCAAAAACACTGGCCCCCCACTCCCAAGTTAAATAATGAGCATGCTTTTTGTTGTCATTCGTGAGAATGGCCTCAGCCTCAAAGCTGAGACATGTGCGTTGATAATGATTTAGAAATGCGGGGAGCTGCTGGTGTCTGCCCATTTCAAGGCATGAAGCGGGCAGAGACAGTACACTGTGTTCCCTGTGGGGTGGGGCTGCAAATGCTAGACTTCTGTCACATTTGTAAGCTTTAGCTAAGGAATATAAAATCAAACAAGTGAGTCTGGTTTATTAAATGAAACTTTGCCAGTCATTTTTAAATGAGTGTAATATTGAGGAATTACAAGAATTTTTAATGCATGTGTTTTAATACTGTTCCCATGCAGAACAAAAAAAAATGTTCTGTTTGCTTTACATAGTTAGGGGGTGGGGCATCTAAAGTAAAATATTTACTTTAAAATTGATTTTAAAGTAAAATCTGAAAGATGGGTAGAATGGCTTTCACTCCATTGCTGTATTTGTTTTAGAGTTCATACATGTTAATGAGAAGAACTGGAACACAAGTAAATGAGTATCTAACGGTGAATGTGACCTGTGTGTTCCATATGACGGCTGTATGTACACCCGTCCTGAATGCAGCAGCCAGCCCAACGCCCCTGGAATCCATGTGCTTATTGTCACTGACAGACAGGTGTAGCAGATGGCAGATTCTGATAGCATCACATGTAAGAGGCTTACAACTCCAGATTCCTGGCAGGAACTTCATTGTGTGAGGGGATGACCATGGAAACCACTCCAGGCTGGCTTTGAGGGGATGGGGGATGAGGTCTGTGGGGAAAGGTTGCTTAGCTTTCCACTTTGTCCTTATCCAAGGCGACTAGCATGTGTTGAGGAAAAAAAATAGTACTGGCAG